GCTTTCAAGCAGTTGATTTCTAAATTATTTTTCTAGTTTTGTGTTTTCTACAGGAGTCCTGGCATGGCAAACTAGGATAAGCACTCAACCAGAAGGTGGGTTTGAACCACACAGTGGGCAGATCAAACTCACCAGCTGCTCCTCAGAAACACTATACAGGGTCACGATGAGTCGGGATGGACTTGATGGGACTTAATAACAACAACACAGGAGGAAACTAATCCACTATTAGAGGGGAAAAAATTTCAAAAGTTTACTCATTACTTTATGTCATCTTTTGAATAAAAACAGCCCTGGCTACCACCAAGTCATAGTTAGAAATAATCAGCTTTTTTTATAAAATTTGAAGCATACATTGAATTATGAAAGAATACTGCCTGGTTGCTTGAAAACTTTATTTACCATGTTACTGTAAATAATAGTATCTTTTCTATGCTCACCCCTTCCAAATAATCCTGAATTTTTTTTATTAAATTCATCACTAGGGCAGGGGTGGGAAACATCTAGCTCAAGGGTCATGTTGTTGTTGTTGTTGTGTGCCATGGAGTCAGTTCCGACTCATAGCGACCCTGTACAGGGTTTCCGAGGCTGTCAATCTTTACAAGAGCAGAAAGCCTCCTCTTTCTCCTGCGGAACAGCTGGTAGTTTCGAACTGCTGACCTTGTGTTTCATAGCCCAATTCATAACCACTAGGCTACCAGAGCTCCTTCAAGGGCCATATAAGGCCCAAGAAATGATTTGGAATGGTCTGGCCAAGGCAACTGCTTGTCCAGCCATTACATTTGGTAAACTGATGTTAAGTGCCATCGAGTTGGTTCCCACTAATAGAGTCTAAGGAGCGGTTGGTGAGTTTAAACCACCAACCGTGTGGTTCAAAACAACCTTGAGGTCGAGTGCTTATCCTATGGCTCTACACCAGGGCCACAGAGTGAGTTAATTAAATGTTTGACCAAATATAGTTGGTCAATTACATTTTTAAGTTGATAATTCTTTACGATGTTATAAATTTTTGGCAAAAAAAAAAGGTTCCCTTTTGTTTCTTTGTTTGCATATTTGTTTTGCTTTTTGCCTGCTCACTTTGTTCTGGGTTTTAGTTGCTTTGTAAAATGCCTGGTTTGCTCTTTATTAAAGGTGAAAAAATATAACAAAGACAACATGAAAGGAAAACATACTTGCAAATGTAATCCCCTGGCAACACTGACATTCCTAGTACTCACTAAACTTACTTGTTAGAGGTGGTCAGGTTGGTTCTGACGGACTCATAGTGACCCTGTTCACAGCAGAATGAAACATTGATGCTTTGCCATCCTCACAGTTATTGTTATGCTTCAGTCCATTGTTATTGCCACCATGCTGACTCATCTTATTGGGGGGCGGGGAGAGGATCTTCCTCTTTTTCACTGGCCCTCCACTTTAGCAGGCATAATGCCCTTCTCCAGGGACTGGTCCCTCCTGATAATGTGTCTGGAGTATAAGAAATGACGTTTCACCATGCTGGCTCCTAAGGAACATTCTTCTAACACTGATTTGTTTGTTCTTCTGGCACTCCATGATACTTTTAATATTCTTCTCCAACACTGTAACTCAAATGCATTACTTCTGCTATGGCCTTCCTTATTCATTGTCCAACCTTCACATGCATGTGAGGCAACTGAAAATATCATGGCTTTGGTAAGGCCCACCTTAGTCATCAAGTTGATATCTTTGCTCTTAAAGAGGTCTTGTGCAGATCTGCCTAGTGTAATATGTCATTTGATTTGGTTTCTGCTTCCACGAGTGTTGATTGCAAATCAAAGCAAAATTAAGGCTTTGACAACTACAGTCGTTTCTCCATTTATCATGATGCTATTTATTGGCTCAGTTGAGAGGATTCTTGTTTTCTTTGCACTGAAGTGCAATCCATAATGAAAGCTGTAGTCCACGATCTTCATAAGAAAGTATTTCAAGTTCTCTTCACTTCCAGTAAGCAAGGCTGTGTCATCTGCATATTGCAGGTTGTTACTGAGTCTTCTTCCGATCCTGATGCCATATTCTTCTTCACAGAATCCAGCTTCTCGGATTATTTGCTCAGCATATACAATGAATAAGTTTGGAGAAAGAATACAACCTTGGCACATACCTTTTCTAATTTTAAATCTTTCAGTGTTCCCTTGTTCTGTTCGAATGACTGCTTCTTGGTCTATGTATAGGTTTTTTAGGAGTACAGTTAAGTGTTCTGGTATACTCATTTTTCACAATATTATCTAAAGTTTGTCATGATCAACACAGTAGAAAGCCTTTGCATAATCCATAAAGCACATGTAAACATTTTTCTGGTATTCTCTACTTTCAGCCAAGATTCATCTGATGTCTGCAAAGATATCCCTCATTCCATGTCCTCTTCTGAATCTAGCTTAAACATCAAGGAGTATCAATGTATTGTTGCAGCTCTCTGTGAATTATCGTCAGCAAAATTTTACTTGCATGTGATATGAATAATATTGTTCAATAATTTTTGCAGTCCAATGGCTCCTCTCTTTGAAATGAGCACAAATATGGATCTCTTCCAGTAAGTTGGTCAGGCATTCCAAATTTCTTGGAAAATATGAGTGAGCACCTCCAGTGGTTGAAAGATTTCAATTTGTATTATTCTATCGATTACTGGAGGCTTGTTTTTCATCATAGCTTCAGTGCAGCTTGGACTTCTCCCTAGTACCATCTGTTTTTTATCATATGCTACTACCTCTTGAGATGGTTAAACATTGATAATTTCTTTTGGGTACAATGACTCTGTGTATATCTTTCATTTTCTTTAGATGTTTTCAATATTTTTCCCATAGTATCCTTCAACATTGCAAGTAGAGGTTTAACTTTTTTTCCTTCAGTTCCTTCAGTTGGAGAAATTCTTAGCATGTTCTTCACCTTTTGGTTTCTAACTCCAGGTCTTTGACAATTTCATTATTAATAGTTGATTTTATCTTTTTGAGCTGCTCTTGCTAATTTTCAATTAAGCTCTTATAATTCCTCATTTCTTCCATTCTCTTTAGCAAATCTAATCTGGAGAGTTAGTTTCAAAGACTCTTGATTTTTTTTTTTTTTTTTTTTGGTCTTTTCTTTCCTTCATGTCTTTTTAATGACTTTCTGCTTTCTCCCTCTATGATGTTCTTGATATCATCCCATAGCTTTTCTGGTCATTGGCACATAATGCATAAAGTCAGTTCCTGAGATGGTCTTTAAATTCAGATAGGCTATGTTCTAGGTAATATTTTGATTCTCATGTACGTATTTTAATTTTCTTCAGCTTCAGCCTGATCTTGCATATGAAAAATTGATTGCCTGTTCCACAGTCATCCCCTGGCCTTGTTTTGGCTGATGATTTGAAACTTTTTCACCATCTCTTTTCACAGATGTAGTCAATTGTATTCCATCTGGTGTGGTTCATGTTGCTTATATATTGTCTAAAACTGGTATTGGCAATGAATAATTCATTGGCCTTGTAAAATTCTATCATTTAGTCTCCAGCATCATTTCTATCTACAAAGCCATATTTCCAATCACGGATCCTCCCTCTTTGTATCCAACCTTCAAATTCCAATCACCAGTAATTATTAACACATTTTGATTATATATTTAATCAATTTCACACTGAAGAAGTTGGTTTGTTGTTGTTATTGTTAAGTGCCTTTGAGTCGATTCTAACCCATAGTGACCCTGTACAGGGTTTCCAAGGAGCAACTGGTGAGCTTGAACCACTGACCTTGAAGTTTGTATAACTTTGCAGTCTGAGGCATTAGCCCACAGCAACAATTCATCAATTCATTATCATTGACTTTAGTGGTTGGTATGTAAATTTGAATAACAGTGGTATTAACTGGTCTTCCTTGTTTTTGTTAAGTGCAGTGAAGTTGGATCCAACTCATAGTGACCTTGTATAAAGTTTCCAAGGAGTTACTGGTGGGTTTGAACCACTGGCCTTGTAAGTCCAATGTTTATTCTACAGTGTCACACCATGATTCCATGTAGACACATGGATATAATCCTATCACAGACAGCATTGTACTTTAAGATAGATCTTGAAATGTTCTTGTTAACAATAAATATGGTGCCACTCCTCTTGAATTTGTTGTTCTCAGTATAGTGAACCATGACTGTCAGATTCAAAATGTCCAATACATGTCCATTTCAGCTTGCTAATGCCTAATATATAAAGTTTTATGCATTCTGTTTTATTTTTGACAATTTCCATTTCTCCTAGATTCATAATTCATACATTCCAGGTTTTGATTATTAATGGATGCTTACAGCTATAGTAACGTACTGGTTACGAGTCGAGCTACTAACCTCAAGGTCAGCAGTTCAAAACTACCAGCCGTTCCATGGGAGAAAGATGAGGCTTTCTGCTCCCGTAAAGATTTACAGCCTCAGAAACCCTGTGCAGAGTCACTAAGAGTCGGAACCAACTCCACAGTACTTAACAACAACAACAACAGCTGTTTCTCCTTATTTTGAATTGTGCCCCATCAGCAAATGAAGGTTCTGAAAGCTTTACTCCATTCACATCATCATGTTGAACTCTACATTGAGGAGGCAGCTCTTCCCCAGTTGTATTTTGAGTGCCTTCCAACCTGAGGGGCTCATGTTCTGCCACTACAGTTGACAATGTTCTGGTGCCTTTCACAAGATTTACAGTGGCTAACCATTGAGTAGTCTACCTCTGCTCCTTGCTCTATCTTCATCTGGAAGCTCCACTGAAACCTGTCCACCATGGGTTACCCAGCAGCACAATATTATGCCTCCAGCATCACAATAATATGCAAGCCACCACAGTACAACTTAGAGACAAGAGGTGGTCCATCTAAAATTTATTTAAAAAGGAAAAAGAGTAATTTATAAATGAAAAAAAAAAAAAGTGAAACAGGTAAGCCTACAGGCTGCAATTGAATATAAAGTGTGGACAAAGACATTCTTGAGAGACATGCTTACACTCTACACATTATTAGACAAATCAAATAATCTCTTACCTTTTGACAGCTTCGGTCAATAGGGTCCACTGGAGTAGCTCTAGGATGGGTTACCCTAACATCATCTCTTCCACATTCCAGATTGGCCCATAATTCAGTTATAAGTGCATTAATAAACCCTAAGAAGAATCATTTTATTATTTTAAGTCATATTTAATAGTATTAATATTTTCTTGGATTATGGACTAGAGATAATGATTATCCCTCTGGCAAGTCTGATCCACATTTATACAGACACATTCTTGCTTTTTATATAAAAAATAGCTTTCTAGTCTTGATAGAAATTATAACTGCTATTATTGGTATCCCATTATAGTAACTCACCATTACAAAACTTTGTAAAGATTAAATTTTAAAAGACCATTTCCTGGGAGAACTGCTGAATTATGAGTGATAGCTTTTGCACTTCAACCAATAACTCATCTGTGCACACTGCTTTCTTTTCTTCTGAAAAATGATACGGTTATATTTTGCTTTTCAAATCGGTTAATAGTATAAGGTGACCTAAAAAGTGGTATCTGTATGTGTGTGGCAGTGGTGAAAAGAAAAGGCAGGGTAGGCATCCAAAGAGAAAAAATTGTATCTTTAACGTAATTCTTTTTCATGTTTCTATATATTTAAAAGAATTCTCTACTTCATATATTTTTTGCCTCAGTAAGGTCTAAATTCTCTTGAGTCAAATACTATATATCTAAGTGAAAATGAATATTAAATTTAATTACTATTAATCCATCTATGAATAATCAAATCACATAGAAAAGTATAACATCAGTAAATGGAACCATGTACAACCATAAATTCAGAACAATAATATTAAAGTAGAAAAGTGCTTACATTATACATTTTAAAATACAGATTCTGGAATCCAGAATTCTAAATTCTTCATCTACTAGCTTATGAGTTATTTTTCCTAAGGCAAATCCTGTCACTTCTTTTAGCCTCAGTTTCTTCATGTGAAAGTGAAAACAACAATGCTAAATCCCAAGATTGCTGTGAAGTACAAATGGAATGATATATGTAAAGTTCCTAATATAGTACTTAAGACATTGTAGGATCTTAAGCAGTATTCATCTTTTGTGTGTGTATGTTCTGTTGTTGTGTTGGGTGCCACTGAGTAGGTTCCAACTCACAGTGACCCTATGTGACAAAGTAGATCTGACCTATAAGGTAAGTTATCAGCTTTATGGGAGCTGGTCAAACTGCCCACCTTTCTTTTAGCAATTCAGTGTTTAACCAGAGGTCCTTCTTTGTCATACAAAAACTAAATTTAACCCTCTCGTGAAAAGCTTAATACTATGACACTTAAGAGACTTAAGGAGAGCATCACAGTTATAAGACATGAGGTGAGATTACATTTAAACTCTAAATTCCTCCATTAATGTATCTGTAATTGCTACACAGAATTGGATTTTAAGTAGGAAAAGGAATTACTGTTCAGTTTATAACACTATCTTCCAAGAAATAAGTTTCATAATATAAGTAGTCAAAATTAGTTAAGTTAAAAAACAAATTTAAAACACAGTAGGGAAAACAAAACAAAACAGTAGGAAATTATATTCATTTAAGGAGAGAAGTCAATAGTTACCATTGATGTCATGGTTCATCAACTTCAAACCTTGAAAGATATAGCTATACATATCTTTCTATCTGTTAGAGATTACATCTCTGGTTAAGGCTTTACAAAAATAACTCAAAAAGAATTGTTACCACGGTTCCTACTCATACATGTATGTGTTTGGTCCAAACAAAACATACTTAAACATGTCTCTGGGATCAGTGGATGGCAGAAGACAAGTTCTCTCAGAATAATACATTTGTCTTAATCTCATTGTTGTTGTTAAGTGCCATCGAGTCAGTTCCAACTCATAATGACCCTGTTTAGGGTTTCCAAGGGGCAACTGGTGGGTTTGCATCATCAACCTTGTGGTTCTCAGTCCAGTGTTTATCCTACAGTACCACACCTTTTAGTTTTATTAGGGAGCCTTCAAAAAAAAGAAGGCCCAATAAAAAGAGTGATGTCTAAAGTGACCTGCTGGGTCAGTTCAATGAAAAGTACAGAGGTCAGTTCAGAAGGTTATGGTGACTGTGTTTTCCTAAGGGGTAATCTTGATGATTTTTTTTTCAAAGGACACAGTACAACCATGGGGGCTGATTAGGAAGTTGTATTTTTTTTTTTTAATGAAAAAACTACACTGATGAGAAAAATACCAGAAACATTGCTCCAAGAAATCTTTTTCCATCAAAGACAATGCACCTGCTCATTTTTTAAGGGTAGCAGGGTTGTCCTATGAGAATTTTGTGGTTGGAAAACCTTACTCCATCTACACTACAGCTCTGATATTGTCATTCAGACTTCTTTTTACTCTCCAAACTCAGAGAACACTTTAAAAGCACTTGATTTGAATCCCTTAAATATCCCATAACTGCCAATTTGACATTGTATAAATCAAAGAACATAGAATGTTTCAGAAAAGGGTTAGATAAATGGAAACACTACCTTCAGAAGTTTAAAAACACAGATGGAGGATATTTTGAGAAACAATAGCTTAAAACTTCAATGTTTTTGTTTAATAAAGATTTCTATGATTTTGTAGTAGTACTTTGTGACCTATCCTTATACACAATCTTGAAATAAGAAATATTAGATTTCTAAAGTTTGAAACTTCTTAAAAATCCATGTGCAGTGGAATAGTACATAACCAGCTGCAAACCATGAAAAGTGATGGCAAAGATTAACTTGTGAGAAGGAAATTGGAGAGGGAAAATATGGCGTGCATGTGTGATAAAAAGTATGAATGCAAATTAGCCTAGAAGATATACCAAAAGACAGGAGAATATGCTTTTGATTTATAAATGAAAAAAAGCATCAAGTATCTCACAGTTTAAGTTATTATGTGTCACTGTTCTGAGGAAGAAATACAATAAGAACATATTATATATTAAGTATATATCATATAACACAGGGAGGATGGGGGATTTCATGTACAAAAAAAAATCAGAAAAGAAGTGCCATAATTTTCTTCTATCTAAGGCCTAACTAGGAGGAAGAACTAGAAGGTCCATTTATAAGGGATAAGCTCATGAAAGACTTATGAATAGAGTAAAACACTGCTGGTACAGTGTAGGAAGATGGGAATACAACTGGGTAAGAGCTGCCTCTTCACAGTAGACATCACCTTAACAATGTGGCCATAGCAAAGCTTTCAAGACTTAAAACTGTGATGGGGCACAATTCAAAATGAGAAGAAACAGATGCAGACATTCATTAATAATCAGAACTTGTAACGTACTAAATAGGAGTACTGTGATTCTATAGGATAAACACTGGACTACAAACCACAGGATCAGCAGTTTCAAGCAGTATAATGTACTGGACCACAAGGTCTGTTTGAACTGCAAGGTTAGTGGTTCAAATTCACCAACTGCTCCTTGAAAACCCCTAGAGTGTCGCTGAGTTGGAACCAACTCGAAGGCACTTAATAACAAAAGTTGTTCTGTGGGAGAAGGAGGCTTTCTGCTCCCATATAGATTTACAGCATCAGAATGCCTATACATGGTTTGTGATGCTATAAATGAGTCCAACCAGATTGGATGGCACTTAACAATAACAATGTTATAAGTATATATCTAGGAAAATTAGAAGTTGACAAAAATAAAATGGACTGCATAAAGATCAATATCCTAGGCATTAGGAAGCTGAAATGGACAAATATTGGACATTATGAATCAGGCAATCCTATGGCCAGGTATGACAAATTCAAGAGGAATGGCAAACAGTTCCATAATAAAATGGAAACAGTTCATATAGGAACAAGCTATGGGAGGAACTCAGGGAGGCACCTACCATATCCATGAGCAGGTAAGCCTGTTTTCCCACAGATCCTACCCTAGAACCACATGAAAAGTTACTGGAGCCTATTGCCACATGGAAATGCCCTACAAACAACTTGCTGCTGACCACAAAAGGCTGCTTGGTTCACAGATGGCTATTTCAGAGTACATGGACACTTTATGTGGAAAAATGCTGCATTAAGACCAGCAGATGGAAAGACAATGATTGAAGAATGTAAGAACAGGTCAGTTCAATGGGTCAGTTGTCTTCCTAGCAATGATGGAAGAATTGGACAATGGTGAGAGTCCATATATTTGGAGTTTTACTGATTCATGGGCAGTGGCCAAAGACCTGAATGTATGATTAGGCAAATTACATCCAAAAAACTTGACTATTAAAGGAACATCCATGAGGAGCAAAAGCCTAGGAAAGTACTTGGGACATGTAAAGTGCAGAGAGAGTAGAACATGTCAATGCCCATCAGAAGAACCCTCTGCCTTGATCAGAAGGTTACTGGAATCAGCAAATAGACATGATGGTATGCTCCTTGGAGGTGACCAATTGGGTCCATGAAATGGGTGGACATGGAGGTGCTGCAGCAATACAGAAATGGGCTGAATCTAGACACATCCCTCTTGCACCCTTGTAGACACAAAATATCAATCAGGGCTGCTCTGTCTACCATCAAGAAAAACAGAAATTACTTATGGGGTAGATTCCCCAGTGGGAAGGACCAGTTCACAGCTGGCAAGTGGATTACACAGCAAAAGCGGTTCTAGAAGCACCAGGTGGCCACAAATGGGTCCTCACAGGAATAGATACTTACTCTGGACTGGGCTTTGCTTATCCTGTAATGGATGCAGATGCCAAAAAACACAATTAAGGGATTACAACAAATGATACTATACCAATTTAGGCAACCAAGTTATATTTCCTCAGACTAAGGAACACATTTACAGCCCACAGAGTGAAACAATGGGCCAAGAAACATACGAAGTGGGTATACCATGTTACATACTGCCCTCAGAGTAATGGTTTAATAGAGAATTGGAATGGGCAAATGAAACAATTTGTTATCTAAAACAGGGGGAGATAAAGGCATGTAGGGCTGGCTCACACACGTTCATGAGTGTGTACTCACACTCAACATGAGGGTACAAAGAGAGGATCACCACTGGATAGATTCCTATGTTTCTCAGGGGGACATAGGGAAGAGGGGCTAGAGGAGGATGATGGTGCTACTGTATAGTTCTTCCCCACATTACTTGAAATTGTTTTTCCTTCCAGATGCTGCAGTCCCAGGACCAGGAGTGTAGCTACAAGTAAAAGAAGCAGGCATGATCCCCCTCAGCCAGAGACTGTAACTATACCCCAAAACTTGTATACCAGATTCCCAAGGGCCTGAGGGGATGGACTGTACCTTCCCTGCATCTGACAAAACTGACAGTGCATAGTACGACATTGCCTAGTGGACGAGATAGCCCACTAGTCTTGTATTTATGTAACCCTACTTAACATGGATGGGAAAGGACTGAGGTGGAAACACTTGCTAGATTGGTCTTGCTACAATCTGGACTAGCATAGCAGCTGAGCCTGATGTCTCTTCCCAAGGTGCAAAAGGTTGGGTAAAAGTAAATGATAGCGCAAACGTGCCATGTGCCTTTGCTCTCAGGTCAAGAATCACTGCGCAAACAGAAATTGTTACCTTTTTTTGCCCTGCCCATCATGTAAATCAAATGTCTAGGGACATTAGTCTCGCTCATATGATCTGAGAGTAAATAGACAAAGGCTCACAAAACAGGCTAAATGCTTTAGAGAAAGGAAGACCGCTTAAGGGAAATAAGACCCAATATATCCAGACTACACTCCCAGCTAAGGTTACTCAAGGTATAAGTAGATTTGTGTTATCTTTCAGTAACCCAGAAATTAATTGGAACTTAATCCAACAGCATTTTAGGAGGTTGTGGAACAATATACACTTGTCTGGGGATATTCATCAGCTACACGCTCAATTTTATGATATAAGTAATTCTCAAAGTGAACACTGCGTGGCTACCCATTTGCTACCCATGCTAGAGAATAAGATCCCCGAGGAACTGGATTGAACCTCAGCATAGTGATCCTGCTTGGTCACCTTAGAGCAGGTGGTGGGCCCGCAACGTCGGGCGCATGGGGTCCCCAGCTGATCTCCTCCCTCCCTGCCTTCCTCGGATGGCGGCTGTTTATGCTGGACGTGTGGCCAGAGACGGGTAAGGATCACGTGGAACCTCGGCTACTTGGGACAGAGACATTGCCATGCTGCAATGAGTCTCAATGACTGGTAAGACTGAGGAATTCGCACTGACCACCTAAGACAGGCAGCGTCCCTTAAACAATCAATAAAAAAGGAGGACTCAGATGCAGACAGCACAGACCCGGTCAGGAGGCCAAGCCCCTGTGGGCCCAAGCGTTGTTGACCGTCCAAACCATAGGCTCTGAGGATCAGACTCTAGCTACCTAGTAGACATAACAAACTGTCCCTCATCTGATTATTCAGTAATGCTTGTTAGTAATCTCATACGTGAGCCCTGGATATCCACAGACAAATGTAAAAACCTCCCCTAAAAGCCGAGACTATAAATTCCAATAAGCCAAGTCCCCCCCAATCCAAAAAAAAAAAAAAAGCTAAAGAGGATAGAGAGAAACACTGTAAACTGATGATATATAGCGGGGATAATAATCAATGTAATGAAACAAGCTATATGAATGGTTGAATGTGAAACTGATGATGTGCCCTGTAAACTTTCACTCAATGCAAAATAAAAACATTTAATTAAAAAAAAAAAAATAAAATAAATGCTAAATGGAGAGAAGGAGAAATAATAGCTGGAGGTAAAGGTATGAATAAATAGATTATGCAGCAGGGAAAGTCTAACATTATGCTAATATCTCAAGAGAGACTCGAAGCAAAGGAATATTCCTCTCTCAGTAATATTTTTTCAGGACCAAAAATGAAAAAGACGAGACAAACTTTTGGAGAACCTGACCAGGTCAGATGGACACAAACAGCAGACCTGAATGGTTAGTACCTGAATAATCTCACCCTTAGAATTCCTTACCACAGAGAAGGACTAATTGTCAATGACTGGTTTGGACTGGTAAATTGTTGGGAGAGTGAAGTTAATCCCTCAAGTATAAAAGGGCAAATGGCTAGAAGAGCCAGGGGTGGCCTGCTGGACAGCTAATTATTACAGCCCCTCTTCCTAGCCAAATTTCTCCATTTTGTGATATATTATAGATCCTAAGCTCTATACCTGTGATTATGGGCCCATTTTGTAGTGAGGTGCTGAAGAGAAAAGATTAAAGTGGCACTAAAGGAGAGGCATTTGAGTTATGGTGTTGGAGGAGAGTATTGAAAGTGCCATGGGCTACCAAAAGAACACACAGATCTGTGTTAGAAGAAGTGCAGCCAGAGTGGCCTTGGAGGCCAGGATGGCCAAACTTCGTCTCTCATATTTTAGACATATTGTCAGGAGGGTCCAGTCACTGGAGAAGGATATCATGTTTGTAGGTGGAGGGTCAGAGAAAAAGAAGAAGACCCCCAACGAGATGGATTGAAAAAGTGGCAGCATCAATGGGCTCAAGTGTGGCAACAATTATGAGGTTGGCCCAGGACTGAGCAGTGTTTTGTTCTGTTGTGCATAGGGTCGCTATGAGTCGGTACAGACTCGATGGCACCTAACAACAACAAGGAGTAAAGATTACAGTGAATCAAATGCCCCTAATTAGTAGAAGGTGCACCTCTACTCAGGGGCATGGTCTGACTCCAATTTACAAGACTGCTGTGGAAAAGCTTATTCTCTGGCCCTAGATCTTACATCTGGCTCATTATGTCTGATCTCCAGTTCATGGATCTTCCAGCCCATAACCTGACCTGATTCACCTGCTCACACAGCCTCATGCATCCAACAGCCTGTTGTCTGACCTGCTGATTTGGGTTCCTCAGCTCTTGAGGCTACACTGGGCAGGAGATTCCCCCAGATTGAACTCTGAACAATGGATTTTGGACTTGCCAGACTCCACACTTGTGTGAGCTTTTTTTTTTTTTTTTTCAACAACTCTAACATTTGTTTGTGAGATATTCTATTGTTTTGCAGAACCCTGGGTTTTGAGGGAAGGGAGGAGTGGTGATTAATATGAAGGACTATGGAGGGGCATAACATGTCGGAAAAGTCTTAACAGGTTGGGCACCTTTAACCTCCAACTCATAGGGACCAGCCTTGTAATTTATAAAATAAATTATTTATAAAATAAATTATTCATGTAGCAAGGATGGGCAGGAATCATCTCACATACTTTGGACATGTTATTATTGGGAGAGAGAAGTTCCTCCCTGCAGAAGGACATCATGCTTAGTAAAGTAGAAGATCAGAGAAAAACAAGATGGAAAGACACAGTGACTGAAATTCTGGGTTCAAATATAACAATTGTGAAGATAGTGCAGGACTGGGGAGTTGTAGTCGGAATTGAAACGATGGCACCTAACAACAACAAGGTCTAACATGGAAAAAGAGAAAACTGCACTTGATAATGCCTGTTTAATTTTCAGTTGGGTTGATCATTTGGTTTTATTTAAGATAATTGTAATTCTAATAAAAAGAAAAATATTACCTGAACTTCGTAATGCTACCGCCCCTGCTGCTGTTGATGCCACTTGAGTAGCCATAACTCCATAGCCAAACTTTCTATGCCTGCTGATCTAAAAACAATACACAAGGGACGCCAATGAGATGAAAGAAAACAAATGCTTCTATATAGGTAGTTTATTATTATTATTATATTAAGCATTCCAACAAAAAAAGATGATAGCAGCAGCAAAAACAAAACAAAAAGCTTTAACACAAGTTTGATATAGGAAACAAGCATAAATTGCTACAGTTTGATGAACTAGATCTTTGCTTATGGATGTAGTTGCTCAAAATTCTAACCAAAAGGGAAAGATTCTTCATATCAAGGATCAATCCTGTGCTCTCAGTACACAGGGTTGATATAACGGGTACCTTAGACATTACCTACCAAAAATGGGGGGCATTAAAGACATGAAGTGGCTGCCTTACAAGCTTTCAAGAGTATGCTTAGTTTCATAACAAGGTGGGTAAGGTAGAATCCCCACTGAATAGTTTCCCTCTTGTCCAGATTGTTCTGGTGAAAGGGAATGGTGGATGTTGGGGATAGGATTCTTTTGATTCAATAGTGAATAATTGTTATCATGACTAATTGTGATTGTCACAACTGTAAATGTAGAAGTGATACAAAATGACCGGAGTACTTAATCTTTCATTCCAAGAACAAAGAACCCTAGGACCATCAAGCGAGAAGAGCATGATTGGAGCGTGATAACCTAAGCAGAAAAGCAGCAAAATGTGCTCTTTGGACATATATTATCTGTGTATTTTGTGTACATTAAAAAAAAAAAAAAAAAAACAAAGAGAAAAAAAAAAAAAAGGAATAGAGGTAAATATTATTAACTGATAGTACATAGAGGAGATTATAATCATTGCAATGAAACAAAATATGATTTCTTGAGTGGAAAACTGATGATCTGCCTTATAAATTATCACCCAATTCACAATAAAAGTTTTAAAAGAAAAAAACAACAACAGACTTTAACAATCAATCAGATTGTACTAATATATTTTTGGCAGTGTTATTTCAGATCTAGGTTCTGGTACCAGTTCTAAATATAAGTTGCTTTTTGACACAGAACAAGACACTTATATAAATTCTCTTCATTCACAGAATAAGGGATGTAGACCAAAAGAAGGCAACATTCTTTCCCAACTCTAAATCATTTTAAATTTTCACTTTGTAGATTCATGCTATACATTTCCTTACTAACAAACATTTTTTGTATTGAATTTCAGCTTGCTAACTAGGCTCTCAGAGGCAAACAATTTGAAAAAGAACAATGATATCATCTTTTAACTGACAATTATTTTACATACAGCATTTTTTGTTACTAACAAAAAAGGAATTTTATATGTATAAATAGAATTTATCCTTATCATTAATTCACCAATTTCTAAATTTCTAAATTCTAAAAAAAGTATTGTGTTGTTGTTGTTGCTAAATACCAACAAATCAGTTCCAACTCATAGTGACCCTGTAAAGAATTTCTAAGGTTTTAAGTCTTTGCAGGAGATTGAAAGCCTCATTTTTCTCCCATGGAGAGGTTAGTGGACTAGAACTTCCAACTTATTGGTTCACAGTCCAGCACTTATCCTATGGAGCCACTATGCTCCCTAAAACAAAGAGCATATTATGTATGTATTCATGACAGAAATCAAAGGAGTAAGGAAATAACAAAGACATTTTATAAAATGATCATCTGAAGCTTTGGCTAAGATACTATTGATTTAGTAAACATTTCACTTCTAAACAGAGCTAACAACTTAATTTTATTCAACATTTTGTTTACAGCAACTTTTAAAAATATAAACTGTACTCAGTTTTAATGTAAAAACAAAACAAACAAAAAAATCCAACAACCACATAGTGAGAGAGAAACTAAAAGACCTTAAGACAGAATTAATGTACTCCACCTGTTTTGTTATTTAATATCTGTAAATTTACCTTCCTTTTACATTTTTATTACTCATATTTCCTATTTTCCCTAATCTACAATCCATTATTTTTATAATCTGAAGACACCAGATTGTTATTGTTGTGAAATGCCATCGAGTCAGTTCCGACCCATAGCGACCCTCTATAGGGTTTCCGAGGAGCAGCTGGTGAACTTGAACTGCCGATCTTCCAGGTCAAATGGCTTTGCAGTCTCGTACATTAACCCACAATGCCACACCAGGACTCCAAGATTACAGTAAGATAAATGTCTGTTTTTCCCACTCACTTTCTTCCACAACCAATAAAAAAAGACACTGACTGTTAATGCTAACATTTGTAGTCATAGGGGTTTCTCAAATCCATACTAAATACTGAAAATGAAGATGCAGAGACGATCTTCTTGTTGTTATTAAATGCCATTGAGTTGGTGCCGACTCATAGTGGCCTTATGCACAGCAAAACGAAACACTGCCTATCCTGGGCCAACCTCACTATTGTTGCCATGCTTGAGCCCACTGATGCTGCCACTTGGCCAATCCATCTCACTGGGGGTCTTTGTCTTTTTCTTTAACCCTCCACCTTACCAAAAATGATATCCTTCTCCAGTGACTGGTTCCTCCTGACAATATGTCCGAAGTATGAGAGACGAAGTTTGGTCATCTTGGCCTCTAAGGAGCATTCTGGCTGCACTTCTTCCAACATAGATCTGTTGGTTCTATGGGCAGCCCATGGCACTCCCAATATTCTCCTCCAACACCATAACTCAAAAGCATCAATTCTTCTATGGTCTTCCTTATTTAATGTCCAAATTTCAAATGCATATGAAGTTATTGAAAATGCCATGGCTTGGGTCAGGCGCACCTTAGTCCTCAAGCTGACATCTTTGCTCTTCAACATGTTACAAAGGTCTTGTGCAGCAGATTTGCCTAATGCAATACGTCATTTGATTTATTGACTACTGCTTCCGTGAGTGTTGATAGTTGATCCAAGAAGAATGAAGTCCTTGACAACTTCAATCTTTTATCCATTGATAAGAATGTTGTTTATTGGTCCAGTGGTGAGGATTTTTGTTTTCTTACCATTGAGATGCAATCCATACCGAAGGCTGTGCTCTTTAAATCTTCTTCACTTTCAGCAAGCAAGGCTGTATCATCTGCATATCACAGGTTGTTAATGAGTCTTCCTCCAATCCTGATGTCACATTTTTATTCAAATAACCGAGCTTTTTGGATGATTTGCTCAGCATACAGGTTGAATAAGTACAGTGAAAAAATACATCCTGTCGTACACCTTTCTTAATTTTAAACCATTCAGTGTTCCCATGTTGGGTTCGAACAACTGCCTCTTGGCCCATGTACAGATTCCTCATGAGCAGAATTAAGTGTTCTGCAAAACTCATATTTCACAATGTTGTACATAGCTTGTCATGATCCACACAACCTTAGAGAAGATATAAA